GGGCGCAATGCCGGGGCGGGGACAGCAAGGGAGGGGGGCGGGGAGAGGGGAGGGGAGGCGGGCAGGGGAGCGGACAGACTTGAGAGGGCTGACCCCGCCGGCATCGCCCACATCACCAAGCTTCTTTTGATGAGCACCCAGACTGCTCCCGGATGTGCCCGCGTATCGGGTTCCCGCGCCCTCCCCCCCGGGCTGGGCGTCGCACGGCCCACTGCCCGCCGGTGACGCGAATTTGAATTTGGCCCTGGGAGTAACGGATGTAGATGCCAACGGATGGGGCCATCGGCGGATCTGCGTCCGCGCTCCCGAAGAGCCCCGCGCGCGCGCATGCGTATGCGTGTGTGTGTGCGCGGCTGCGGTGCCGCCTCGCTTGGGGGAGACGGCGGCGGCGGCGGCGACGGCCCACAGTCTCTCTCTGATGGGCCGCCGGGACGGGGGCGGGGGCCGAGATCGCGGCCTCCTGGGCAGTCTCCCTCGCCCCACTTCCCACGTTTCGTCGCCCGCCCCTCTTCTCGGCCTTCCTCTCTCTCTTCTCTCTCTCTCTCTCTCTCTCTCTCTCTCTCTCCCTCGTCCCCTGGCACCGGAAGTATGTGCCGCGCACTGCTCCTTTCCCGCCTCTGCTCCACCCCCCCCCCCTCTACCCCACGGCCCTGGCCAGATCTCTGACCCGTCCTCCGCCTGCGCCTCTGTTCTCCTCCTCTTGCTGCCCGCCCGCCTCTCCGCTCTCGCCTGGCCTTTCAGTGGACAAGTACGAGCGCACGCGGATCGCGCAGACTTCGGCACCAAAGACCCTGGCCATGACCCCGGTCAGTGAAAATGCCACCGAGCCGCTTACCATGGACGACATGAACACGGTCCGCATCTCTCCGAATGGCCCGCTGAAGAACTACGTCACGGCCATCAGCACCCTGTTGCTTGAGGTGCGCTTGCCCTTCCCCAGCTTGCCCTCCTGGCGCTGCCTCCCCTCTGGACCACCCCTACTGCGCGTTTCCGACTGGCCTCCATCTGACGCCTCTCCTTCTGTCCTGTGCGTGTGTGCGTGCGTGCTTGCGTGCGTGCGTGCGTGCGTGCATCTTTGCATGTAGATCCAACTGCCAGTGGTTTTCGTCACAGCGCACAGCTCGGTCCTGCCGCGTCTGGTGTCGGTCATCGAGCTGGCCAAGCGTGCCATCCAAGAGAAGCTTGGCCCTCGCGGAGGGGCCGAGCAGCTCTTTTGTCACATCCAGCTAAGCGAGGAGCGCCAATTGGATACCTGGTCCCCGCGCGACAAGGCCAGTGCCCTGGACACGTACGAAGATGCCGCTGCCACCGCCGCCGCCGCCGGCTGATTGCCCACCCGCCGGCTCCATGCTCTCCGCGCGGTTTTGCCTCCGTTTCTCTTTTTTTGTTTTTGGTACCCCCTTTTGACGCTCGCAACCCGTTTCCTTCTGGTGCTCGCTCCTACCCCCCCCCCCCCCCCCGGGGCGGGGCGGATGGCTCAGCATCGACATCGAGCGGCATCTTCCACACATGACGGCGGCCTTCTCGCTCACCGAGATGAAGCCCACCGATGCGCCAGGGTCCGGGCCCTCTTTGATTCGCCTTCTTGTTTTTTCCTTTCCCCCGCTCTTGTTCTCCCCCCTCCCCCTCCCTCTCTCTCTCTCTCTCTCTGACCTCACTCCTGCTGGGTGTCATGTATTGTAGCTATGCGCGCTCGGCTCCAGCTTTTGTTCGTCTCCCCCCCAACCAATCCGGGCAACGTGGCGGCAGTGCCGGCCGGCCTGCTGCCGGAAAGTCCCGCAGCCGGCCTCAAGGTAGGAAGCCCGGCCGGCCATCACCCCCGCCTGCCGGCGACACTCCCAAATAGTGGCCCTCCGCTCCCTGCTTGTCCTTGTGAGGGGCGGTGCTCCTGTCCCCTTTGAAATACATACATATGCATACATGTATGAATCAACACACGCACAGTGCAACATGGCCCTTGTGCGCATCCTATCTCACGCGTCAGCCCGGGTGCCTTGTCCCCTTGTTTGTCGGGGGGTTGGTGGGGCCCATTGGCAGGGAACCAGGAGGAAGGACAGATCTATTATGCGCCTTGCGCCTGGATGCAAGCACGAAGAGCAAGCACACAAGCACACATGCAGGTGCACATGCGGACGCCCAGCTACATGGGGACGAGTGGAAGACACATGGCCGGCCTCCTTCAGAAGACGCCGGTCACCCAGCGGAGGACACCATCGCAGCCGGCCGTCAAGATGGCCTCCGTATGGGGCGGGCCGCCGGCCGACCGACGGGCACCCGCCGGGCCCCGGGCGTTGGCCGCGCCTCCTGGCGGGCGGACCCCACCACGACCGGCCACTGGCGAGGAGACTGACGCCTCGATCCACAAGTTGGCCGGGGCCTCAGCACGGGGGTCCTGGTTGCGGAAGAGCTGGTTGAAGACCGACCGCATGGAGAAGGACGACGAGGCAAGGGAGTTCGAGGAGTGGGGCACCCGCGGGCCGGGGGCCAGGAAGGTCGGGGAGAAGGCCAACGGGCCGGAGATTTCGCTGCCCGTGTTGTCCACATAGGAGATGGGCCCCGTGTGCTGGAGGGCGTCGGCGCGTGGGGAAGCCACGATGCTGGTGCAGCAAATGCGCACCGGGCACCAAGACTGGCGACACAAGGGGGGGGGGGGGGATGAGGGAGGATACACAGAGGTCAGCCGGGGAGTGGACACAAGGGAGGAAGGGGCACAGGCAAAGGGGACAAACCCGCCGTGGGGGGGGGGAGGGTCGCGTCACGCACACGCAGAGTCGAGTCCGAGGACACGGTCCAGATCTGGTCCGAATGCAACGATGAGCCGATGGACCGGATGGGGAACCCGCTCTCAGTCGGGCTGGAGGACGAGGAGAACCCGCCCAAGGCCGAGGATCCACTCCGGCCAAGGGTGGCACTGGAGCTGTGCTGGAGATTCCCCGACGGCGAGGGCGGCAGGGATGCATGGCCACCGGTCGACAGGGAGCCGCCTGCCAGCGAGGAGCCCGACACACTGTGGCTGCCAGAATGGCCAAAGTGCGAGAGGTTGCTCATGGAGTGCGAGCCGGTCAGCGACGAGCCTGGGTGGGTGATCGGCGCGTTGGAGGCCGTGGCCGACAGAGGTACAACCACCGCCGGGCATGGCCGTGCCGGGGGGATGGCCTCCCCGGTGCCGACCTCGTTGCTGTTTTGCCCGGCCAGGGGGCCGACGCCGGCCAGCGACCCGGCACTGCCCAGCGACCCGCCGCCGGATCCACTCGCCCCGGACAGCGAGGGAGTTGTCAACGCAGCGACCGTGGCCGCTGTGGCGGCCGCCTTGGAAGTCAGCTCATTGAGCAGGGCCACGGCCAGGTGTCCGCGCCGACCGCCAGCCACTAGCATCAGCTGGTTGGTCACCGGATGGGGGAGCAAGTTGATGGCTGTGCAGCCGCCCGGCAGACCGGGGAGGTAGACGGCTATCGGCGAAGGGAGAGGTATGCACGCGTGTGTCCATGTGTGTGTGTGGGGGGGGGGGGAAGAGGCAGGCATAGAGAGGGAGGGGCGAGCAGAGGGAGGATCAGCAAATGCTTGACGAGCAGGAGGAGGAGGAGGAGGAGGAGAGGAGGAGGGGGGAGGCGGCCCGGAGAAGCATGACAGATGTGTGCGCAACAAACGCATGGACGCACACGCGACCAGGGCCTGCTCGGTCGGCAGGAGGAGATCCCAAAGGGCCACATAGCCGCCGGCCGGGTGGCTGGACTCGGCGTTGCCAAACGACAGGCCAGACCCGGAGCCGGGGAGAATGCCCGCCCCCAGGCCGACCGAATGCGAGGAGTGGTGGCCACCGGCGGGGCCGGGAGCGCCGCTCGGGGTGCCCGAGGACCCAGGAGCATCGGGGCCGCGTGCGGCACCCGGACCGCCACGCCCGGACTGGTGACCACCGGCCGCCGGCGAGGAAGCCGACGCCGAGTGCCCAGAGGGATGCCCGGCCAGGCCGCCGCCCGGGCCACCCGAAGCGAAGGACATGCCGCCCGAGCCGGCGGAGCCGCCGATGGACGTGGCCGCCGCGGCCACCGACAGAGCCAGGGAGCTGCCGGCATCGCCCTTGGGCGGGGCCGAGCCAGCCGTGGCCAGGCGCCCGACGGAGTCGAAGAAGATGAGGTCCTCCACGGGGGAGCCATTTCGATGGGCCCCGAGCAGGATGTTCGTGGGGAAGACCACCGCCTGCCCGGAGAGGAGCTCATGCAGGCGATCATCCTCGGCCACCAGAGAGGCCCCGGCATCCGGCGCGGTGAAGGCCCACACGGCCACATGCCCGGCGCTGGTGCCGGCCGCCACGCGGGAGCCAGTGCTGTCGAAGCGAGCACACGTCAGCTGGCCAAAGTGAGCCTCGTCCAGGTGCGGCGGCAGGGCAAAGGTCAACATCGGCCCCGGGCGGCGGAATTGCCACAGAAGGAGCTGCGGCCGGTCGGGATCGGCGGTGATGTCTACGCGGCGGGCAGATTGGCCCCCGGACGGGAGGCGGGGAGCGCGGGGGGAAAGTAAGTAATACGCATGCGAGGCAGGGACAACAGTGGGAGAGGGGAGGGGGAGTTGGCGCAAAACAGCAGGCGAGGAAATGAAGTAGTCGAAGGCGGCAACAACAACGACAACAGCAGCAACAGCAGCAACAGCAACAGCAACAACAGCGACCGACACAAGGCCACGCACAGTATGGTAGCTCCGGGTGAGAGGCGATGATGTCACTGGCGCACTTGGGCCGAATCAGCGGGTCATATGTGGAGATGGACACCGGCGGCGCTTGGAGGGAGTAGCGCTGCGGGCGAGCAGAGGCCGGAGAGGCACCGGCCGACGGGGCCACGGGCTCCGGCGCGTCAAGCAGCAAGTTCGACGAGGACCGGGATGGGCTCTTCTCGCTCTGCACCCGAACGCGGCGCCCCAGGGAAACAATGTAAAGAAGACCGACAAAGGCAGAGACGCAGGTTAGCTTGACGAAAGACCGCGGCCGGATCTGAGAGGGGTGCTGGCAGCGCGTGGCACGGGCGCACACGCACATGCTTCGTGCGAATGCGACTGAAGAAGGACCCGATCGATGAGGCCGACACCGAGGAGTCCCCACCCCCAGTCGAGGAGGCGGAGGTGGAAGAGGACCCGGGGGAGGTGGCGGAGGTCCGGTGTTGGCGCTTGCGGAAGAGCGCCTGCCCGGACGCGGGGTCCGACGAGACATGCGTATTCTCGTAGATCATCTGCCGGATGCCGAAGCTCGGGGAGAACTGACCACCGGTGGCGGCCGCCAGCACCAGGCCCGGGATCTTGGGAACGGTCGACGGACCGGGCAGGTTGAACTCGAACAGATGGTCCCCGGAGCAGAGGACCACCCGGCGGGACCCGACCTGCCGTTTCCGGGAACACCGCAGGGGGAGTGCCCCGGCCCGGCCAGCACGCGAGAAAGAGGGACCATTGTCAGAGGGCAGCAACCACAGGCAGATGGCCGAAGGGAAAGGGGAAGGGAGAGGGAGAGGAAGAAAAAAAAAACAACAACAACAACACACGGAGCAGCGCACCTCAGAGCTGACAGCGAACGACCGGATGGGATGGTCACTGATGGCTACTGCCTGGGCAATGTCATCCGGCGAGGGGATCAGCCGACGCAGGGGGTCCGAGTCGCTGGCCAGATGCTTGCGCGTGATGCGGTTGGCCAACTCGACCGATCGGAAGGCATTCACACCGAGGTCCTTCAGCGGGAAAGCCGGTGAGGCGGCCGCATCGTCATTGCAAACCAGCATGAACTGCAGCCGGTCCGCGATGGCCTCAATGGCATCTGAAGTGTTGGGAGGGGTTTGATTTTTTTGCCCCGGTGTTTCGGGTCATGGCCCCAGCGGCAGTCGAAGGGATCGATGGTGCGGATGTAAGAGACGGGCCCTGGGGCCGGGAGAGAGAGGCAGAGAGAGGCAGAGAAAGGCAGAGAGAACAACGAGGCCGCAAAAGGAGGCCCAAGAGGAGGAAGGCAACAGCATGGCCGTACCACGGTGGCAACTGGCGGCCGCGGTGACCGAATCCAGCCGATTGGCCGACCGGATGGAGAGAGCCGATTCCGGAGACTTGGCCAGGGCCCGGAGGACCGCCACAAAGGCCGACATCATGGTGCGCAGCTTCTCGGCATGCTCATCCTGGGCCTTTTGCCGGCGCATCTGGCGCCACATGTCCGCCAGGCGGACATCCTCCTCGGTGACAAACTCCGCCGGAAGATTGGCCAGATGCTGTTCGGCTTGGGACAGTGGCTGGCCGGCATCAAAGTCCGGGGCCTCCAGGAGCCGCAGGTTGGACATGGGGATCGGCAGCGGACGTGGCCGGGCGTCCGGATTGGACAGGACATCCATACACCAGAGCAGCGAGTCCCAATCAACCGCACCGGACCCGGTGGCAATCTGCTGCAGGGAGGAGGTCACCACGGCCAGCGCCCGGGCCGTGGCCACATGCACCAAGATGGCCTTGGGGATTGGCGACTCGAAGGGGAGGCTCTCGGCCAGGGCACTGCGACAAAGGGGGGCAGGGCGATCGGAGGAGCAGCGGAGGGCAGTCCGCACACGAGCAGATGAGGGCATTAGGAAGAAGCTGGAAGGGAGCAGGCGGCAGGGGGGGGGGGGGGAGAAAGGAAAAAAAAGAACGAGGGCCGCCGCCCCAGGGGAGCATGGGGACCCGAAGCGTACAAGGTGGCGTCCAGCAGGCTGGACGTCTCGGGCAGGGTGACTGGGCTGAGCTCGAGGCGCTGGCCGGCCGACGGCCGGCTGGCCGTCTTGTGTGGAACAACCTGTGCCAGCAGCGCCAGGCAGGCCGACGCCCAGCGCTGGGACCGGTGCGACATGCGCAAGACTGCACCGGGTGTGGGTGTTAGCTAGCTGGTCGAGAGGGCGACAAGGGCGGCAAGGGCGACAAGGGGCCGAGTGCCAGGGGGGAAGGCAAAGCACGCACGCTGAATCTCCGGCGTGGTGTCTCGGCGCCCGGCGGTCAGCAGGGCCGGCGAGTTGGGCGGCTGGCGGCTGAAGAGACGCTCCAGCGGGACACCGGTGTCCGGGCCACCCGGCGGCAGATCCGGCTGCGGGGCCATCGCCGAGCTGTCACTCCAGGAGAGGGCCAGGCAGGTGAGCGAATCAACCAACTGCAGGGCCTGGCGGTCAACCTCGACCAGCTGGATCTCGGAGATCCCAGCGCGCGGGTCGCCACCCGGCTGAGGAGCGACACGCGGGGCGGTCAGGCCACCGGCGTCGTTGACAAAACGCCGCGCGGCCTCAAGCAGCTCGCTGGGTGTACACCATCACCGGGCCGAGGAGAGGGACGGGAACAGGGGCAGGGGTAGGGGCAGGAGGGGGGGGGGGGGG